GCTGCTTCTCTGCCGCTCACTGCACAGAACAGACGCCGAGAGAGGTGACGCTTCTCCGGGAAAGTCAGACCTCGCGTTCGCGGGACAGCACTGGCGAAATCTTCCAACTGAACCATAGCTAAGGTTTATCCAAAAAAGTCGCTAGGTTTGTCAGTATGAATATTTGCTATAAGGGTCTGAAAGTTGCTAAATCTAGTGCTAAAGTCGCGCTCGTGTGTGTGAGACGCGTGAGCTGATGGCAGGGGGCAGTGGATATTTGTGGCGGTCAATGTGGATATTGTGGATGAGTTCTTCTGTCATCATGTTCTATTAGTTCTACAGCTTCAGTTTCGGAACTTTCACGCTTAGTAACACATACAGCTGTTCCCTCACCACAGTGCAACAGTGAAAAGGGACCCCTTTCAAACAGTGTCGCGTTCCGAACGTTGTTTAAGCGACATTATTGCGGTATTTTAAAAATGTAAAATTTAAAAATATTCGGTATGAACCGGTATACCGCCCAGCACTAATATATATATATGTAAAATAGTTTATTATTTGAGCATTGGTTTCTTTTATCATGTCGTGAAATATCTCCTCTGTTCTGAATAATTTAGTTGCCAAAATTAGTTTTGTGTTAAATATGAAAATTGCTTATGGGGAAAAGGGTTAATGTTCTGTTTTAACATGTATGTTTTTTATGGTGTTGCAGGTGGCCTGCCGTACGAGTTTAAAGTGGTGATCGCAGGGAATCATGAGCTGACCTTCGATAAGAATTTCATGGCGGAGCTGGTCAAGCAGGATTACTATCGCTTTCCCTCCGTGGCCAAGTTGAAACCAGAGGACTTTGACGATGTTCAATCTCTCCTGACAAACTGTGTTTACCTGCAGGACTCTGACGTCACCGTCAAGGGCTTTCGAATATATGGCACACCATGGTAAGTTCCTCATGCATTTCTTGTGTTTTTACATTTACAGTAAATACATTTTAAGATCAATTACTTTAATCAAAATCGCAAGTTGTTGGCAGTCATTCGATGGTCAGAATGCTTTCTCTTTGCTTTGGTTTCTGTATATATCTTCTTCATCATCATCATCATCATCATCATCTTGTACTCTGTTTTTGAAGATTTATGTTTGTTTATCAGTGTTTGACAATGTTCAGCATATTTTTTACCAATTAACAGATTAAGACTGTTTGTATCAGTGATTTAGTCTTTTTCCAGGTTTGAGTTTGCAATGACTTTAGACTAGATCAGCATACGTCAACAGACTAGATGTCAGTTTTGCTTTAAAGACAGTGTGACGGCATTCTCAACACCTTTAACTTCTGTAACGTGACCTATTTCTCAGTGGGCAATTCCATGGGTATTTGATTCAGTTTTCATGGTTTCATATTATTGTTCACTTGATTATTGGTTAATATTTTTCCTTTCCATACAATTTTGGTTACGTCAGCAGAAAAGATTTCTGAGGTGGCGTATAAAAATGTTCTAAAAGAGGTCTCTTATGCTCACCAATGCTGCATTTATATATTAAAATATTAATTTGTGAAATATTATTACATTTAAAATGATTTTTTTCTATTTTAATATATTTTAAAATGTAATTTATTCCTGTGATAGCAAAGCTGAATTTTCAGCATCATTACTCCAGTCTTCAGTGTCACATGATCCTTCAGAAATCATTCTAATATGCTGATTTAGTGCTCAAGAAACATTTCTTATTAATATCAAATTTGAAAACAGTTGTGCTGCTTAATATTTTTGTGGAAACCATGATACGTTTTTTTTTTTTCAGGATTCTTTGATAAACCATTTATTTGAAATATAAATCTTTTGTAACATTATAAATGTCTTTACTGTTACTGTTACGGAATTTCTTTGGAAAAATCATTAACATACTAAGAAAGTTAATATTTTAAATACTGCAAGTATGACATTTTGAATTCATACGAACTTCAAAAGCTCTTGTGATGTAATTTCTGTGATGTGCCACTGCGCACTGCTAAACAAGCGGCATGAGAAAGCACCACTGCGTCATTCCCATACTCCATCCCCGTGTGTTTGAATTTCCTCGGATGCTCTGATCCTCTTGGAACCTGTTTGTTTTTCTAGCGCTGCTGTAGGAATCGCTCACCTCGCGCTCTATTGGGCAGCCCATTTAGCTGCACCTCTGCCCTACTTCCTGTTTTCTTAGCATCCATCTAAAAAGATAAAATGGCCCTGAACTATAATTATCCCGCACAACATTTTTAATGCTTCCTAGCATTTTCTATTTTTACATCCTGCCCCTTAGACTTTGTTTTCCTGTGTGTTTTTTCCCTCTTAAGAGCCATTGTGAGATTCACCTCTTCTGCTGTCTTGTTTTTGTCTATAATTAGCCGTGAAATTAAGTTAAAAAGGGCGTTGTATAGGGCATCCCACAAAATGTAGCGAAACAGACAGTGGGGAAGCGGAAAACGGAGGGAGGAAGTGGAGAAGGAAGGAAGCCCCCTGTGGCCCTTTAGCGTGAAAGCTGCTAAATGTCTGTTGTGACAGCGTGGGGTCTTGTGGGAAACAGGGAGGAGGGGGCCAGCGGGTGGATACTGATAACTCAACACACACACAGATGGCCATGAGGTGGTCAGTCTGACCAGCAGCGTTTGGTCTCGCTATGAAAGCATTTGGGTGGCCCTGGTGTGGCATGTGCCTCATCTGGCCGAGAAATTTGAGAAGCTGGCTAATTTGTATTACCATATTGTCACACCATCGAATGTGTAACATAAGTCAGACATCTCGAGCGCTGCTGACTCATTCCCGAGAGTGAAAACGGAGAGAAAGGAAGCAGTCTAAAAGAAAAGAGAGATATCCATAAAGCTATCTTGATGGACAGATGGAGACAGTAATGGCATACCTTTGAGACACAGAGACAAACGGTGACAGAGGAAGGACTGGAAAGAGGACGGGTGTCAGAAAAAAAGAGGAGAAATGCATAAAGAAATCAGAAAGCGCTGATGCAGATAGACATGGCGTTGGCTGTACTGATGGGAACATATCATGCGCAGACATGCTCCGGGAATCAAATATATCTTCACACCAGGATCTTTTACTTGAAATTGTCACAGAGAAATAAAAAAAGAGGATGTTATATTGTAGTTTTGTATGAACCGAGTCTGTTGATCGTAAAGTGACAATCAGATGTTAAATATCTTTTCCTCTTGTTTATTTAATAGAAATACATTGTTTATTTTTATTAAAGGTGACATATTATGCCCCTTTTCACAATGTAATATAAGTCTCTGGTGTCCCCAGAATGTGTCTGTGAAGTTTCAGCTCCACTCCTCCACACTTACTCCACAGATCATTTATTATATCATTTTGAAAATGCCTATTTTGAGTGGAAGCAGAAACAAGCTGTTTTTCGGGCCTGTGTCTTTAAATGCAAATGAGCTGCTGCTCCCCACCCCCTTTTCCAGAAGAGAGCTGCACCTTTACAGCTCGTACCTGCTAAAAAAATCTGTTTTGGTTCTGATTATCATGTTTATCACGCTGAAATCATGCGTTTTAAACCATATGAGTTTAAACTTCAGATATAAGATAGAACAGTTAGCATGTTTTGCTCAAACTTTCACCATGACATTAGACCTGGTACACCGTTGTCGCTTGCGAAATCAAAATGACAGTGCCTTGAGTGGAAGTTTACAGATTAAGGGGCGGTAATATTATAATGAGATCCCTTTGCCACGTCACCAAGGGAGCGAAATCAGACGCGCTCCTTTTCTCAGACGCTTGCAGAAAAAGGCTTACCTAAACAAAGTGATTGGGTTAATCTTTTTCACGTTTCCTTGGTTGGTAGATGCACCGGGGACCTGATTATAGCACTTAAAACCTGGAAAAGTCAGATTTTCATGATATGTCACCTTTAAAGTAATATCACTTAGTAATTTAGCATTAAGTTTAAATGAATAGTTCACCTGAAACAAATGCAAATAATGTCATTAACTTGCTTTCATGTCATTCCAAACCTTTTTTTCCTGGAAATTTTTGAAGGATCATTTCTTTTTATTTTGACCGTGGTGTTTTTAGTGAATCAATGTTGTTTTAGTGTTATTTACTGCATATTCAAATATGGTATTTAACGATATACTAGATTAGCTTTCCTATTTATATTTTAAGATCTCATTTTAATTTGATTAAGTATTAGTAATTTTGTGATTTTTAACACTTTTATTATTTGTTAATATATCTCTGTATAGATTGAATTCATTTTTATTTAAATTTTAGTAATTTTTACTATAACTAAAATATTATAATATAAAATATATAATACTTTTAAGTATTTATATTATAACTTGATAACTTGACTGTCTGTTTGTAATACTTGGAATATCAGAATCAGAATCAGAAAGAGCTTTATTGCCAAGTATGTTTGCACATACAAGGAATTTGTTATAGTGTCACAAGCTTCCAGTACACGGAGACAACAACAACACA